GCTAGACTGTTGCTTTCACTGGTGATCTTAACTCCTCTGACAAAGAATGGAGAGACGAGGGGCAGACCAGGTCCATACCTGACTCACCCCACTCCAATCATAGGCCTACATGGGCATGAATCTCTCTCAACCATGTGAACAGTATTAAAAAGTAACTTTTTTAAATAAGTAAATCAGGGCCCGGTGGAACGGCCTAGCGGCTAAAGTCCTCGCCTTGGATGCACCAAGATCCCATATGGGAGCCGGTTCTAATCCTGGCAGCCCCAGTTCCCATCCAGCTCCCTGCTTGTAGCCTGGAAAAGCAGTTGAGGATGGCCCAAAGCTTTGGGACCCTGCACCCATGTGGGATTCCCGGAAGAAGTTCCTGGCTCCTGGCTTCGGATCGGCATAACATCGGCCCGTTGTGCTCACTTGGGGAGTGAAACATCAGACGGAAGATCTTCCTCTCTGTCTCTTCTCCTCTCTGACTTTCCAATAAATAAATAAATCTCTTAAAAAATAATAAAATAAATAAATAAATAAGTAAATCAGTGAATAGAAGCTCACTTCACCCACCTCCATTCTCCCTTTGTAATGAATGAGTAACTCTTTAAAAAACTAATAAATAGAAGTTACCAGAAATGACAAGGTCTAGGGAGATATGTCACACACACCCTCAACCAGTAGTCAGAAACACAAAGTCCTCCCAGTTCTCTACTTCCCCATTTGCAAGGAAAGTCTTCAAAAAGTTCATAAGAAATACATACTGTCTTAATTCCATTTTCCCAAGAGATTTCTAAAGAATCTTCCTTTAGTATATTCTTATTTCTCACAAATCAAAATCGTTTCCAGAGTTCCAGTCATAATACTCATATTCTAGGAAACATTATGGAATATTAGAAAGAAAAGCACACACCCTGTTTTTTTAAAGATTTTTTTTTTATTATTATTATAAAGTCAGATATACAGAGAGGAGAAGAGAGGGAGAGGAAGATCTTCCATTTGATGATTCACTCCCCAAGTGAGCGCAACGGCTGGTGTTGTGCCAATCTAGAGCCAGGAGCCAGGAACTTCCTCCAGGTCTCTCACATGGTCGGAGGGTCCCAAGGCTTTTGGGCCATCCTCGACTACCTTCCCAGGCCACAAGCAGGGAGTTGGATGGGAAGTGGAACTGCCAGGATTAGAATCGGTGCCTATATGGGATCCCGGCGCATACAAGGTGAGAACTTTAGCTGCTAGGCCACGCCGCCGGGCCCACACATACCCTGTTTAAGGAGAATTCTCAGAACTACCATGTATCACTTCCTTTTATACCTCATCAACCAGAATTTCATCATATGGTCCCACCCTCTGCCAAAGAAATCTTAGCAAATAAAATCTCTTCTCTGGTGATAGTATGCCTAGCAAAGCCTTAGGATACAGCAATTCAAGAAGGTTCAGAGTATTCCTCTGAGACAGGCCTTTTGAAGCTCCTACAGTCAGGGAACCTGAAGCTCCAATTGGTGAAACAGCTTCTACATATTCCAGCTGTAATGTAGCATTCACCCCAACTCAAGCCCAAGATCATTCCCAGTGTCCAACAGGAACCTGGCTCACCCCCATCACAGGGCTTTGGTCCTCAGCCACATGCCTGGAGAGTCTCCAAGGCGATGCAATACATACAGGACATCTCCTATCCTATGTCATAGGCCTTTTACTACAAGGCCCAAAAATGAAAAAATAATTATTTTGAGTGAACACAGAGGAACTTTTTTTCTAAAGCTTATTTTATTTTTACTGGAAAGTCAAATATATAGAGAGAGGAGGAGAGAGAAAGAAAAATCTTCAATTTGATGATTCACTCCCCAAGTGGCCGCAACAGCCAGAGCTGAGCTGGTCCAAAGCCAGGTGCCTTTTTAGGGTCTCCCACATGGGTGCAAGGTCTCAAGGCCTTGGGCCATCCTCCACTGCTTTCCCAGGCCACAAGCAGGGAGCTGGATGGGAAGCAAGTCCACCGGGATTACAACCAGCACCCATATGGGATCCCAGTGCATGCAAGGCAAGAACTTTAGCCATTAGGCTACCAAACCAGGTTCAGCTCCAGCCAGCCTCCTGGCATCCATTTTGTTGGACAGCGGAATGTCTTCCTGAGACTCTTAGGGTTTACAAGGATGGATTTCATCAAGAAGGAGCACTCAGAGCCCAAGCAACACTCCAGGCACCTCTAATGACTTCTGCATTCTACTGGGGACCTCTAGATTAATTCCTGACGAATCCCCTACTGCTGCTATTACTTTAAGCATGAAGGAGATTGAAAGGTTGTCTACCCATCGTCTCTAACAGCAGTTAGAGTTCATTCTTCTCGGAGGGGGAGGGGATTTGTGAGGAGTCAGATATAATAGTAGGCAGTTAGAGTTTTTGGTCCCTGGTAAAATTATTTCTTAAATGTAAAACCTTATTTCTTTCCCAATTTTTACTTTGTAAGAGCACATTTCTTCCAAGGAGACCTTCTCCCCTTAAGGGAGGATAAAGGGGGCAGAATTAACATAGGGATTCACTGTCTCAGTTATAACAAAAGCAAGAAGTGACCCACCTAATCTCGTCTCTGGATCAGCTTAGAATGGGATTAGGAAGCTATCCAGTCCCACCCCTCTGAGTTTTTTTTTTAATTAGTATTATTTTATTTTGATGATTTTTACATAGTTGATAAGGGTGCAAAGGGTCAAGGTAAGACCATTGTTTCCACATTCTCTCTCCCTCTCTCTCTCTCTCTTTCCCTGTATCAGAAGGGTAAGCCTTCTGAGGTTTGACTCAAAACCAGATGCTGGGCCCAGCGTGGTGGTCTAGTGACTAAAGTCCTCATCTTGAATGCATCAGGATCCCATATAGGCACCGATTCTAATCCTGGCAGCTCCACTTCCCATCCAGCTCCCTGCTTGTGGCCTGGGAAAGCAGTCGAGGACGGCCCAAAAGCCTTGGGACCCTCCGCCCATGTGGGAAACCAGGAAGAAGTTCCTGGCTCCTGGCTTCAGATAGGCACAGCACCGGTCATGGCGCTCACTTGGGGAGTGAATCATCAGATGGAAGATCTTCCTCTCCATCTCCCTTCCTCTATATATCTGACTTTGCAATAAAAAATTAATAAACTTAAAACAAAGGTGCTATTGTGAATGATTTGGTGTTTTGTAGTAACTTCTGTGAGATGGTGCAATAAAAGACACCATCTCTATCATTAACTTGGGGTTTTTTCCCTTTGGACACGTGGAGCCCCCTCCTGCCATCGTGGCAGGAGCACTTTTTCTTTTTTCTTAAATAAATCCTTTTGAAGCTAGAGAAAAAAAAAAAAAGATGGAAGTCTTCTGCCGCAGCATCAGGAGGCGGGTTCCAAGAGAGGAAAGACCCAAGAAAATGTGTGGTCGCACAATTCAGATGGGCAAAATTAAAGTTAACAAAGCCCATCAGAAGACTAGAATTGAAATCCCCTAGCTTGCTCAGGATAGAACAAAAAGCTATCAGAATGGTATGACTAGTAACTGCTTTCCATTTTCATGATAAGATAATAATTCAGAAGGGTGGGATGGCACTTTTGTTTTGCTAAAAAGCACCTTCTGGGCAGAAGCAGACATCCTGTATATTTTTGAAGACTTACTCTTTTCTCATTCCAGCAGGGACATAACCCTAACTACCTATTAGCTCATCTAACTGTCACAAGAGGATAGACACACAGCACAAACCTGAGTACAGAGGGAAACCTTTCTATGGATGGTCAATAGATTTTCTGTACCAATTCATAGTACAGGTGACCAAAAATAAGCACATTTTATTTTATTAAAATTAAAAACTAAAACTGAAAACTTAATTCACAAAATGGGATGCAATATTTGCAAATTCTATATATAACATGGACCATCTATCTAGAATAGAAAATCCTTATAAATATATAACAAAAAGACAAGTGAGGGAGCTGACGTTATAGTGTGGCAGGTAAATCACCAACTGAATTGCCAGCACCCATATAGGCTCTGATTTGTGACACAGCTGCCCTACTGTCGGTTCAGCTCCTGCTAAGGCTCTAGAAAAAGTAGCAAGAGATTCTCCAGGTACTTGGACCCCTGCCACCAACATGGGAAACCTAGATGAATCTCCTGGCTCCTAACTATAGTCTCTGGCTGATATGCGGCCATTTAGGGAATCAGTCAACAAATGGGAGACTTCCTTGTCTCCCTTGCTCCATAACTCTGGTTTTCAAATAGATAAATAAATGCTTTGCTTTGTTTTTTCAAAATTGTCCAAACTTTATAGGGTTGGTGTAATGACCCACCTGACTAATTCTATGCCTGAAAGTGCAAGCATCCCATATGGATGCAGGTTGATATCCCAGCTGCTCCACTTCCCATCCAGCTCTGTGTCTGTCACCTGAGAAAGCAGTAAAAAATGGCCCAAAGTCTTGGAAACTTTACCCACGTGGAAGACCCAGAAGAGGTTCCTGGCTTCAGAAAAGCTCAGCTCCAACCATTGCAACCATTTGCGGAATGAATCAGTGATGGAAAAATCTTTCTCTGTGTCTCTCCTTCTGTCTGTAAATCTGCCCTAGGAACAAAATTAAATAAATTTAAAGAAAAAAAAAACACACACAAAAAAAATCTCCAAATTTTAAAAGGGACAAAGATGTCCAAATGGTCCATAAACTCATAAAAAGATGAGATCACAAGTCATTAAATGCAAATCCAAAGTACAATGAGATATCACTTTATAGGCACTAGCTAAGATGACTAAAAATAGACTGAAACTAACGAGAGTTAGTGAGGAGGGAGAAATGGGAGCCCTCTAATTGTTGTGGTCTAGGTATGGGCTGAATATTTTCTCAATTCTTTGCTCTTATTTAAAAAGCCATCAACATGGCTTAAGCAAGTTTATTTAAAAGGTGAGGAATATAGACACACATAGGCCATTTTCAGGGAGAGTGAGCCAGAAAGTGAAAAGGTAAGGGAGGAAGATTGTAACCTCTGTTCTCAGAGGCTGTCGGCAGAAAGCAAGCCAGCATGCGAGAGACCATGTGCCCAAGCAATGATGCACGAGAGAACAAGAAGGGTGAGCCCCCTCCCCAACGCAGGCTTTGAGGGGCTTGGGAGGGAAATGGTTATGTAACAACTCAACACTGCCCCACCTCTGGCTCCAGGTAATGACAGGTGAGTCACAAGTGAGCAGAAAGGATTACATGGGTGGGAGAGGTGTGGCTTCCAAGCCCTGGATAGCTATTACCATATCACTATGCTGCAGGTGTGCACGTAGACAGTTCAGCCGTTTTGGTAAACAATCAGAATGCCAAACAGTTACCACATTGATATGGGGATCCCCAAATTATGTCCTGGGAGATGAGAGCCATATCTGGGCACACAGAGAAATGACCAGACTTAGTCAAGTTCTTATCTTTCTATGCGTAGGACTGCAACAGGGAGACTTACCCAGAATAAGATTTATTGATAAGCTAAATAAATAAATAAATAAAAGATAGCACACTCACAGTTGAGTACTGGCTACCTGAAGAGATATTGTCCCCACCCAGACTGGGGCCATACAGGGTAGGTATGGTGCTCAGAGCAGGCCCTGACTGAAAATTCTGAGGAAACACATTTTGGAATGGTGCTGTCACATCCATTAGCATCTCCAGGAAGCTGTCACTGTTTCTGCAGCAGGTTGCAGTGAGGCTCAGGTGCATGCTAAGGAATGGGTGTACCAAGTTCTTGGCCCTATGGGGTTGGCATGGAACATGACTTGGGTGTCAGCAATCCTTAATCCCTTCCTGATAAAGGGTTATCCCTGCCTATCCATAAGATGTAAGTATTTCTTAAGAAAGAAATGAGATATGAGTATTTGTTATAAATACAAATCAAAAAGAAACGAACACTTATGAGAAGACATTTAGATATATATGTTCATCACAGCATTATCAATAGTAATAAAGTAGAAACAACTTAAAAGTTCACCAAGTGGTTAATGGGTAAATAACATGTAATATATTCATACAGTAGGTCCTGACCTGATGGCTCAGTGGCTAAATCTTTGCCTTGCAAATGCTGGGATCCCTTAAGGGCACTGGTTCATGTTCTGGAAGTTCCACTTTCCATCCAGCTCCCTGCTTATGACCCTGTACCTATGTGGGAGACATGGAAGAGGTTCCTGGCTCCTGGCTTGGGATTGGCTCAGCTCCAGCTGTTGGGGCCACTTGGAAAGTGAACCAGCAGATGGAAGCTCTTTTTATATCTCCTTCTCTCTATAAATCTGCCTTGCCAACAAAAATTAGGAAATTTTAAATATATACATATATATTCATACAATATAACATTATTTGGCCATAAAAAGATTGAAATACTATTTCGTGCTCTAATGAACCTTGGAAACAATATGCTAGGGGCCAGAGCAGTGGCACAGCTTAGCAAGTGCTTGTTAGAGACTCAAGCATCCCTCATCAAAATTTCTGAATCTACTTCCAATTCAGCTTCCTGCTAATGGACTTAAAAAACAACAGATGATAGCCCAAGAACTTGGGTCCCTGTCACCTACTTGGGAGACTCAGAAAAAGTCACAGGCTTAAACCTCCCCAGTCCTAGCTACCGTGGATAGTTAGAGAATGAAAGGAAGATTGACTCTCTCTGCCTTTAAAGTACATAAGTAAATCTTTAAACATCTTTCAGGGGACAACATTGTGGCATGTGGGTTAAACTGTTGCCTACAATAACAGTATCTCATGTGACTGGCTGCTCCACTTTCAGTTCAACTCCCTGCTAATGCATCTGGAAAAGCCACTAGGATGAAAGCTCACCAGTAGATCAGGGCAGATAGTGTTAAGGTAGCCAAGTAGACATTAGACTTCTTCCCCTAGAAATTTTTTCAAAGAGATATTGATTTTTTTAATTGAAAATCCAGATATAGAGTGTCGCCGCCGCCAAGCAGTGGCAACACTAAAACAACGACGAGACTCGCTCTTGAGGGTCGGGGAAAAGCCGGAACAAGACCCCTCACTGCCAAAAGCAGCTGTGTTTAAACCCCCCCTCCCCCCTTCACACACACACACTTACACACACACTCATATACACACACTAATAGGATGAGATTACCAAAGAACAATAAAGATAGGTCATCAAGGACTCACTCATATACTATTAGATGGAACATAAAGAACAAGAACTCATTAGCAAGGTATGAGAGATTTCTCTGCAACACCCCCCAAAATCGTTACACACCTCAATTGAGGAGGTGACATCGAAATAGTTGTAGAAGGTAATCAAGAACTTACATGTAATTTTTACATAATGTCTACTCAACACTATGTCAGACACCTAATGTTTGCCTGGATTTAACCTGTAATTTATGCTTGGTTGATTGTTACTTTTTTGAACCTGTCACTGATACTGTCTAAACCCAGAGATGTGGAAGAATTGAACTTTTTTTTTTTTTTTTAACATATTGTTCACTCAACACTATACCAATTAACCCCATAACATTGTATATCGACGCTGAAGTTTTGTTGGGGGTTTTAACTGACCGGAACTTTGCTCTGTTGGCTCTACCTTCAGACCAGAGAGGGTCTCCCCAAGAGGCCACTGAACTTGTCTGGACAATGAGACGCTGGACTTTATGCTAGGTACATGCTCACAATGTAGGAATTTCAACTGAACTTGAACCGTTGTGCAGCAAGATGGAGCAATCCACTATGGGAGGAGGGGTGTGGGAGGGGCGGGGGACTCCCCAATGCTTATAAAACTGTTTCACATAATACAATGATAATAAAATAAAAATTTTTTAAAAAAATAAATAAATAAAAAATCCTTATTTATTTACAAGGCCCCATTTGTTGTTTTGTTTTTTTAAGATTTATTTATTTTTATTACAAAGTCAGATATACAGAAAGGAGGAGAGACAGAGAGGAAGATCTTCCGTCCGATGATTCACTCCCCAAGTGAGCGCAACGGCCGGTGCCGTGCTGATTCAAAGCCAGGAACCTCTTCTGGGTCTCCCACACGGGTGCAGGGTCCCAAAGTTTTGGGCCGTTCTCAACTGCCTTCCCAGCCCACAAGCAGGGAGCTGGATGGGAAGTGGAACTGCCAGGATTAGACCCTGCAACCATATGGGATCCTAGCACACGTTCAAGATAAGGATTTTAGCCTCTAAAGTCCCCACTGCACTGGGACCACTTATTATAATATTATAGTCCATCACTGAGCAGGTATCATTATGTAATAACTATATATTTTTAAGATTTATTTATTTTTATTGAAAGGCAGATATACAGAGAGGAGAGACAGAGAGGAAGATCTGTCCAATGATTCACTCCCCAAGCGGCCGCAACAGCTGGAGCTGAGCCAATCCGAAGACAGGAGCTAGGAGCTCTTCCTGGCAGGTACAGGGTCCCAAGGCTTTGGTGTGTCCTTAACTCCTTTCCCAGGCCACAAGCAGGGAGCTGGATGGGAAGGGGGACCGCCGGGATGAAACGGGTGACCATATGAGATCCTGGCGCGAGCAAGGCGAGGACTTTAACGACCACGCTAACACACCAGGCCCATAACTATCTTTTTATTATTATTATTATTATATTTTTTACAATCTTTACATAGTTAATTACAGTAAAAAGGTTCAAAGGCTATAGGAAAGTGGGTAAGACTATTATTTCCATATTGTTTCCTTCATGTATCTGAGGTAAAGGGGGATATTGAGGGAGAAGACCCACCCAGTTTCCCACTCTCCCCAGGTCCAGGATGTGGGGCATGCCCCGAGATTTTTGCTCAAGTGGTTTTGATAGTTCAACAGTTATGAATCGCTGCCAATCTCACCACTCCAAGCACGATGTCATTGAAGAATCCACTGATTGACATAGTCCATCATAGAGTCTCCATTTGCCCAGTTTTTCGCTGCCAACAAATAGCTGAGGTGGTTGATTGACTTGTTCTGTCCTCTGTCTTTTCTTGGTCAGTGTTCTGAGTCTGGCATTTCGATTGAGGAGATCCCCAAAGGAACTTTGCCTGAGGTGTCCCAAGACCAGATTCTTGTATGTACTAGCAAGCACAGTCCATTGCCCTGATCAGCTGGTGGTTGCAATTGCTGGATTGGTTCTGTTTTCAGCCCCACTTCCACTGGAACCAATAGGTGTTGCAGTCCAGCCTGGTTCTGCCCAGCACATACTTGGCCCTCACATAAATCAGTGGGAGCTGCAGCCTAGTCAGAGCGACCCACAATAACCCCCACCAGGCCCACCCCCTACCTTGGTTTGCCAGTATATGTAGCAGACTAGTCCAGTCTGTCCCTCATACCCCTTGGCTCTCATACATGTCGACGGGTATTGAAGCTTAGTTCTACCTAACCTACTCACCTATCCAGCCTTCACAGATGTTGTTGAGTGCCTCTCTGTCAGCCACCCCAGTCCCAGTCCTAGTTTTCGTGCCCTCCCGTGGGAGTGGTAACCCAAGAGGGGGGAACCCACTATTTCCCTCCCAGGTCTCTCCCACTCCCGGATTATGCTCTCTCCAGGTGGTTCTGTGGTTTGACTCAACAGAATTAGCCCCAGTGCCAGCTTCTTCCAGCTGATGCTGCACCAAACCCAAACAACCCTCACCCACTCTAATTTTGTTTGCACCAGTAGGAATAATCGGGCCAGCCTGGCTTTTCCCTGATCTAGTCCACATGAAACATATAGGTGTTGTAGCCCTGCTTAGTCTGGTCTGCCCCCATCCCAGCTTACACTCTCCAGTGGGAGTAGCTGTCCAGCAAGGGAACCATGCCAATCTTCCCCAGCTGATTCCACCCCCTCCCTTCCTGGTTCTCACGCATGCTGGTTGGGCACGGCAGTCACATCCAGTACAGGCAAACTCACCTTGGCCTTCCGTTCTGTGCACTGGTTTTTGTCACGACTGAACCTGGCTCGACCCACACACTCTGTTCTGGTGTTTGAATTTGCTAGTGGATGATGTGAACTGATTCAGCCTGGTCTGCCCCGGACCCATGCCACATGTATGCCAGTGGGAAACTTTCCATGGCTTGTTGTGGGCTATTTCCTATCATGATCTTACACTTACCTGCAGGGACTGTGTCCTGTCAGAGGAGTTGCCCAGGCTCCTCCATCAGAACCCTTCCCAATACCAGATTTTTTTCATACCAGTGGGTCCATGAGCCAGACCTACTCAGTTCACCTCCTGTCCTAGCAGGAACAGTGGCTTTTCCTGTCTGGCCTTCAACCCAATCTGGTTCTTACTGTTGGATGTTTCAGCCCAGCCACGGCTTGTCCATACCGACATATAGCTCACACGTGGTTCAGTAGGGGTTGAGACCTAGTCTAGTCCGTCCCACATCTACCCTGGTCCTCCAGGACACCAGACGGTGTTGGAGTCTGGCCCGGCTTGATGCCTCCAGTTCCAGTCCACACTTGTGCCAACGGAGACTACAACCATTTCCTGATCGGAATGCATCCCCCATTCCAGGCCCACACGTGCCCCTTGATGGGAACCTCAACCCAGTTAGGGTGTCCCTTTAGCTCCCCAACTGCACCTGTTCCCAGCCATAGGTCACATGCATGCCAGTGGTTGCTCTGACTCAGCTTGGCTCAGTCCCTCACCTGTTACGGCCTCTGCCTTAGACACTGTGGCTTAGCATCCTTGGCTCACGCAGACCAGTAGGTACAAGAGCCTGGTTCAGCATGATCTGTGCTCCATCTTGGTTTCTAGTTTCACTTGTAGGTCAAGGCTTGCTCAATCCTGCCCAGTTTGTCGTGCTCCATTACCAATTCACACAATCGCCAGCCATTGGAGTTACTTTGCCCAGCTTGTCCGACCTCCGGGTCTGGACCACTTGTTCACCAGCGGCAGCTGTGACCCACCAGGGAAGTTTCCCAAGTTCCTCCACTTGACCCACTCTCAAACCCAGTTCTCATACATGTTATTGGGTTTTAGAGCAGTGCCCGGAAAATCTGGCCTTCCTTTTGGCCTTGTATGAGCTGGTGAATGTTGCAGCCCACCCCCACCCCCTCCCCACACACACCCTGTTCAGGATGCAGATTCAGGTGCTGTTGCCTTGACCAGTCCAGACTGCTATGGGTTCCTTTACCTGAGAGTGATGGGAGGCTCTTTGGTCACACCTAGCTTAGTCCATCACCACCCTAACTTTTGAGCTAACCCATGGAGCTAGAATTTCCACGGGGTCTGGCCCATACATCCTCCACAGAATCTACCTCCGGATATGGTGCTCAAGTGCTAGTTAATGTCATGGCCCTGCCTAGTGTGACTGTCAGCTGATCCATCATCACGTTAGGTAATAGGATATCCTGCTGGACAAGCCCCGAGCCATAGCTTTTGCATTGACTGGTGTTCTGTGCTAAGCATTAAGTGATTACAAGTTCTTCAAAGGAAGAGATGCTGTCATTGGGAATCTTTAGAATTGATTCACATCCCAGAAGCACAGTAGGTTCAACCTGTAACTACCTAAGCAGCAATTCAAAGAACCAAAACTCCAGAGCTCCCCTACTGGGAGGCTAGCAGGCAGAGCCTGGCGCCAAATGGCGCACTGGCTGCCAGGGACAGCTTACCACGTGCATGTGGTGGCTGGAGCCAGGGATCTGAGCATGAGACGCCCTGTCCTGAGACCCACCCGCAGCTGTCAGGCTGCAGGAAGTTTAAACCCCCAGGCCCCAGGTCGCGCCCCTCCCCAATCCCATCCACCGCTTAATGAGGGCGGTGGGTGGGCCCTGGGCTTGCCCAGTCACGGAGACTTCCCCCTCTGTGTACTCACCAAGAAGAGAGCAGCCCCCAGAGCCCAGGCAGGCCTGGGGACAGCTCACCACATGCACATGGTGGCTGGAGCCAGGGATCTCATCACTATCTTTTTTATAAGATTTATTTATTTGGGGGGGCTGGTATGATAGCTTGACTTTGCCTTGCAGGTCTTGCATCCCATGTGGGCACCGGTTTATGTCTTGGAGGCTCCACTTTCCGTTCAGTTCTCTGCTCACTTCTGGCAAAACAGTAGAGGATAGCCCAAAGCACTCGGAAGAGATTCAGATTGGTTCACCTGCAGATTGGCTCAGCTTCATATTGGCTCAGCTCCATAATCCGGTGCCACAGCTGCCGCATTCGGACTCAGCCCTGCAGCGCCCATGGAACTGGAAGATGTGGCCGGGGCATCGGCCCCGTTGGTCCCCCAGCCTGATCTGGCACCAATTAGCATCATCGGGGCTGAGGATGAGGACTTTGACATGGAACTGAAGAGGAACGCAGAGGAACACAACAGCCAGTTCCAGAACCTGGAGCAGGTGAAGCAGCGCCCGGCCCACCTGATGGCACTCCTGCAGCACGTGGCCCTGCAGTTCGAGCCTGGACCCCTGCTCTGCTGCCTGCACGCGGACATGCTTGGCTCCCTGGGGCCCAAAGAGGCTAAGAAGGCCTTCCTGGACTTTCGCCACAGCTTCCTGGACAAGACCGCAGTCCTGCGGGTGCAGTTCCCTCCCCATGTGGCTTTTGAACTTGACCGCTTGCGACCTGATCTCTCCGAAGCCGTCCAATGGCATTTAGTGCAGGAGGTGGTGCAGAGCCAGCAGGCGGCAGTGAGCAGGCAGCTGAATGACTTCTGCTCCAAGCGGCTCATGGGCATGACACCCTGGGAGCAGGAGCTGGACCAGCTGGAGACCTGGGCCGGGCGGGACGGTGTCAGCTACACCGCCTGGGAGAGACACGTGGCCGAGCAGCTGCTGGCCCACCTGGAGGAGATGCAACACACCATCTCCACGGATCAGGAGCGCAACGCTGCTGTAGTGGGTGCCATCAGGCTGTACATGCACCACCTCGGGGTGCGGACCAAGAGCAGGGACAAGAAGTCGGGGAGGAACTTCTTCCGGAAAAAGGTGATGGGGAACCAGCGGTCCAGGGAGCCCCCCAAGACCAACAAAGGGCTGAGCAGCATCCTGGACACCGCCCGCTGGAACCAGGATGAAAACCACTCTCCAGACTTGCGACACCCCAAAGGCAACGTAGACAGGAAGAAGCCAGGCCTTAAGGATCGGAAGGGAGGCCTGGGGGTGTCCTCTCAGGATTGCAGTGCCCAGACTTCTAGTCAGGACACCCTCAGAGTCTCTCTGCACCCTATCTGTGGTGTAGACGGGGAGCCAGGTATAGATACGACCCTGGAGATAGAGGACCCTCCACAGCAAGGCCCAGCAAGCCAGGAGCCGCTGGACAACACGGAAAAGGATGCTGACACGAAGAGTCCTGAGCCTGGCGAGGACGGCAAGCCGGAGAGGTCAGGACTGGAGCTGGAACCGGAGGAGCCCCCTGGCTGGCTGGAGCTCAAGCCCCAGGACACCCTGCACAGCCTGCCCAAGAGCCAGATGAAGCAGCAGGAGGTCATCAGCGGTGAGTGCCGCCGCCGCAGAGGGAGAAAGCCTGCCGTCTGCTGGTTCACTCTCCATTGCGGCTGCTACAGCCCACGGCTGAGCGAGGCCACAGCCAGGAGCCCCGAACTCCATCCAGGTGGCAGGAACCCAAGGACCTGGGCCATCCTCAGCTGCTTTCCCAAGTGACTTAGCAAGAAGCTGGTTCAGAAGGATAGCAGCCGGGACTCAAGCTGCTGCTCATATGAGAATACCAGTGTTACCTGCTGTGCCACATCACCACCCTCCTAAAGGAGCATCTTTTAATTCTACTTTCTATAAATGACTCTCTTTAAACCAAATCAAAAAGAAGATTGGGGGGGGGGGGAGATGGTGTGATAGCTTGACTTTACCTTGCTGAACCACCATCCCATGTGGGCACTGGTTCATGTCCTGAAGGCCCCACTTCCTATCCAGCTCCCTGCTCACCACTGAGAAAGCAGTGGAGGATGGTCCAAAGTCACCAACAAGAAGTTCCTGGCTTCTGGTTTCAGATAGGCTCAGCTCCAGCATTTGCAATCATTTGGGAAATGAGCCAAATGGAAATCTAAATTCTTTTTTTTTAGCACAAAGGCAGAGTTCCTGAAAGAGAGAAGGATCTTCCACCGGCTGGTTCATTCACCATGGGGCCAAAACTGCCAGAGCTGAGCCAATACAAAGACAGGAGCCAGAAGCAAGGAGCCTCCTTCAGGTCTCCCACATGGATGCAGGGTCTCAAGGCTTTGGGCCATTCTCAACTGCCCTCCCAGGCCACAGCAGAGAGCTAGCTGGATGGGAAGAAGAGCAGCTGAGACAGGAATTGGTGCCAAAATGAGATACCAGTGCATGCAAGGTGAGGATTTAGCCATTGAACCATCATGCTATGCCCTATGAGTGCATATTAAGAGCATGTATATGTGTTATATTTATGTAACTTCCCTTTGAAAAGCTGAAAAAGTTAATGGATTGTACAAAGGAGTTAGTGGAGTGGAGCTGCTGGATAAATAAAAGTGCTAAACTGGAAGGTTTCTATTTTTTTGTACCTCTGAGGACTGTGTTATTTGTTGGCAATAGTGGCAGCAAGGGAACAAGGGGGAGACTCTGACTCATTCCAGGACGAAGAGTTCAGGCTTGCAAAGTGGTCTCCCTGAAGTCTTTTTATTTTTTTTCAATAAAAATGAAATTCCCATCTATTTATTTGAAAGTCAGAATTCCAGAGAAAGAGATCTTCCATCACTGGTTTACAGGCACAGCCAGACCTGTCCGAGCCAAGAGCCAGAAGCTTCATATGTGTCTTGCATATCAGGGGCCCAAGCACTTGGGCCATCCTCTGTTGCTTTTCTAGGAAGGTGGATCTGAAGTAGAGTATCCTTCATTTTCATTTTTAGGTGTTGGGTCTGGGAGCCCCGGACGTGGGGGGTCTGGCAGGGCCTGGATCTCCTGGCCCAGGTCCTTGGGGCCACCTGTGCAGTGGGTGCTGGATCTGTGAGCCCCAGGGTTGGGGGTCTGGAGGGTCCTGAGTCTCCTGGTCCAAGCCTGCTTGCATGATGAGAGCTGGGTCTCATGACCCGAGGCCATAGTCCTGCTTGTGAGGTGGTCACTGAATCTCTTAGCCCTGGGGTGGGGGAGTCCAGCATGACCCTGGTCTCCTGGATGAGGTCCATGAGCCCACCTAGGAGAACTGGTCCTCCTCAGTATAGAGGATGGAGTGCTAGATGGCAGACCATGGTGCACATGGAGAACATAGTGGCTCATGGAGCCTGAAGAAGACATCTGGTACCATAGCAGAGAATGGAGAACAGAACATTTGGACAACTATCCCAGCCTAACAATGACAGCAAATATCTGGGCGATTGGAGACTGTAAAAGGTTGACCGTGTCAGCCAATGGACTTTGGAAGGGATTCTTCATCCCTAGATCAATGAGATCGACAACATTTCAAATTATCACATCTACCTGTGCAGAACCTTTGGAACATGCACCACTGTGACTCTGGGTTGATATCGGGTAGTCCTTCCCCATCATCGGAATGGTGGGGATGTTGAGTGTGGTTTATCCCTCTATCTTCTGCCTCACTCCACAAATGGGAAGAAGAAATAGAAAGCTTGGAAACAATGATCAGAACCACTTCTCCCTAACCCTAGGTCCTTCCCACCCTGATCCACTATGTAAACATCATCTAAAAGAAAGTGTATCTGCAAATCAAACACCTATATGGAATAGTATACTGCAGGCAAAGACTTTATGCCTGTTATTCCACAGCACCAGTCTTTAAAGAGATTTTAGTTTAATTCTACTTTTTGGGGTGAAAACAGTCTTTAAAGAGATTTTATTTATTTTTATCTTTTTTAAAAAAAGATTTATTTATTGGAAAGTCAGATATACAGAGAGGAGGAAAGAAAGAGAGGAAGATCTTCCGTCCGATGATTCACTCCCCAAGTGAGCGCAACAGCCGATGCTATGCCAATCCAAAGCCAGGAGCCAGGAACTTCTTCCAGTTATCCCACATGGGTGCAGGATCTCAAAGCTTTGGGCCATATTCACCTGCTTTCCCAGGCCACAAGCAGAGAGCTGAATGGGAAGTGGAGCTGCCGGGATTAGAACTGGCACCCATATGGGATCCCAGAGCGTTCAAGGCAAGGACTTTAACCACTAGGCCACGCCGCCAGGCCCTATTTATTTTTATCTTAAAGGCAGATATCCAGAGAGCAGGAGATACAGAGAGAAAAACTGTCCACCTGCTGGTTCACTCCCCAAGTGACCACAATGGTTAGAGCTGAGCCAGTCTGAAACCAGGAGCCAGGAGCTTCTTCTAGGTTTCCTGTGTAGACACAGGGTCCCAAAGCTTTGGGCCATCCTCTACGGCTTTTCCAGGTCACAAGCAGGGAATTAAGGATTTAGCCACCAAGCCGTTGTGTCAGGCCCTTAAGAGGTTAATATTAATGGAATAACCACATGTTGTCAATATTTTGAGATTGCTCTTATGTTAAAGAAACAAATCATCTAGTTCTTTGCCTCAGTGTTTGGTGTTTGTTCTTTCTTCTAGCCCCATTAACCACCTTGTTCCTACCACCATTTCCCCTACTTGGAAGAACTGTACTCACACTTGGATTAAAAATTACCTTTTAAAAGGACAAAAGCCAAACCAATGAGGCCTCCAGTCCTGGACTTGAAACTTCCCAGAGGCCATGATGAATACATATATTCTTTTTATAAAGGTTTGATTTTTTTATTATTGGAATATCAGATATACATAAAAGAGAAGAGACAGAGAGGAAGATCTTCTGTTGAATGGTTCACTCCCCAAACAGCCACAATGGCTGAAGCTGTGCCAATCCTGAACCAGGAGCCTCCTCTGGGTCTCCCATGCAGGTGCAGGGTCCCAAGGCTTTGGGCTGTCCTCAACTGCTTTCCCATGCCACATGCAGGGAGCTGGATGGGAAATTGGGCCTCCGGGATTAGAACCAGCGCCCATATGGGATCCCGACGAGTTCAAGGACAGAACTTTAGCCACTAGGCTACCATGCCAGGCCCCAAACACAAGTATGCTGAACTCCACTTGGAGACACCATGAAAATGTTCCCAGAGACCACCATGCACACTAAATCCCACTCATTTATATATTCAGGTAGGGCACCAGTCACTAACAAATAACAGGGACTACTGGAGCCAGGTGGAGGCTGTCTGCATGGGTTGCCCACTTAATGAGCGTGTACTTACTCTTCAATGCCTTTAAATAAATCCTGCTCCCATTTTTTCTATATATCTATGGATCTATTTTGAATTCTTCTCTCACATGGGGACAGTAACTCAGAATAAGGCTAGCTGGAGACCCTTCCCTACATACAACCTGAAAGATTTCTGAGATTCTCTTGAGACTTTTTTCTGATGTCTTAGCAATTATCCCACAGCTCACTTTTTTTAAAAAAAATTTTATTTATTTTTATTGAAAAGCCAGGTAAACATAGAGAAGAGACAGAGAGGAAACTCTTCTGTCCGATGATTCACTCTGCAAAGTAACCTCAGTGGTCGGAGCTGAGCCGATCCGAAGCCAGGAGCCAAGAACTTCTTCTAGGTCTCCCAAGCAGGTGCAGGGTCCCAAGGCTTTGAACCGTGCTTGACTGCTTTCCCAGACCACAAGCAGGGAGCTGCAAGGGAAGCACAGCAGCCGGGATATGAACTGGCACCCACATGGGATCCCGGGTGAACAAGGTGAGGACTTAAGCCACCAGTCTACTGCGCCGGGACCAGTCAGCTTCTTTTTTAAGGATTTATTTTATCTATTTGAAAGGCAGAGTTACCGAGAGAGACCGAGACAGAAAGAGAGAGAGAGAGAGAGGGAGAGAAAGATTTTCCATCCCCTGGTTCACAAATGTTACGCTAGCAAGGAGCTGGATAAGAATGGAGCAGCCAGGGCTGTGTCGCAGATGGCAGTTTTACTAATTTGCCTTACAGAGCTGGCTCCTATAACAATTGCCCTTGCAAGAGGACACACCCTCAAAAGCCTAGTATGACTCACTTAGCCTTACTTCCTACATAACATAATTGGATTGTTTCCACCATTTTCGTATCAGTAAGTTATGACTTTGCACAGGTTTGGGGACCATATCATATGTATTGAATCATAGCATTTCCAAGGTATATTACTCACGTCTTCTATCCTCTGATTCAGTCTGCCACTCAACCCTGTGGCTTCTGTGTCCTTTATAATTCTTTTGTTTTTCCTTCTATTTCAGAGAGAAAGATTGAGTAAGTCAGAGAGAATTAATTATTTGCTAATTCACTCCCCAAATGTCGGCAAAGCCTTGGTTGGGCCAGACCCAAGATAGGAACCTAGAACTGTATCCGCGGGCCTCAGGGACCCACAGGCTTGAGCCATCATCTGCTGCCTGCCAGGGTGTACAACAGCAGGACGCTGGATCAGAAGCAGAGCAGCCAGAGCCGCAGTGAGGCTTCCAGATATGGGATGCAGCCATCTCAAGCAGGCTCTCCTTCTGCCATTACTTCCCCAGTTCTGTGTGGGGACATGGTATTGAGTGAAGAAGGTGTAGAAGGACATTGTGAGAGCCCGGTGCGGTGGCACAAGTGGTTAAGGTCCTCGCCTTGCACGCCCAGGATCCCATATGGGCGCCGGTTCTAATCCCGGCAGCCCCCGCTTCCCTTCCAGCTCCCTGCCTGTGGCCTGGGAAAGCAGTCGAGGACAGCCCAAAGCTTTGGGACCCTGCACCTGCGTGGGAGACCCGGAAGAGGCTCCTGGCTTCGGATCGGCATAGCATCGGCCGTTGCGCTCACTTGGGGCGTGAATCATTGGACGGAAGATCTTCCTCTCTGTCTCTCCTCTCTGTATATCCGCCTTTCCAATTAAAAAAAAATAAAAATAAATCTTTAAAAAAAAAAAAAGAAGGGCATTGTGATTCATAGAAGGACAGTGAACATAGGATTACAATAGATAGGATATCATTTGTGTGAGAACAACTGATTGGATAACCATTTGTATAACTGAGTGGATTCCATTTATGTTAGAATGACTGATTGGATACCATTTGTATAACTGATTGGCTATTATTTGAATGAGAACACTTGATGGAATATACAAAACAAAAGACAGTTCCAAACAAGGGCATGAAAACAATTGCTGGAGAGGTTTATGGGAACTACCTAAGCGCCTTACCTCTGCCCTTATCCTATATAACTCTCATTCTATAAAAGTCTGATACCACTAATAAACTTTGGCTATCACACCAAGACAGTAGTCCACGTGTGTTATTTCAGGCTCTGCACCAAGTCCATCGCTGCTGGACAGTAAACAGGGGTGTGCATCAATCAGCTGTGTAGCCTTTTTTTGAATCAAATCTGCACCTTGCCCCTCCTCTGTACCTTCTGACCTGCTCATCCTCTTCTGCTCAACTCTTACTCTTCCTGATCTCCGATTCATCTTTATCCTGCTGACAGGGTGACCTTTCTGCACGTCAACTTTGACCCCACCCCTTCTTCTGCTTAGCTCTGCAGCAGGGCAGGACACTAAGTCCAAACTCCTTCTGGAAGCCTCCACATTCTCCCTCACCTGAGGTCTCACCCAGGGTTTCCAACCCATTTCCTGCCACGCCCTCCGGGCACCCTGCGCTCATGCCTAATCAGCAGGACTTGCTGCTCCCGGAACAGATCTCTTCTGCATCGCTGTCTCCCTGACATCCTTCCACCTGGGAATGACTTGTTCAAAAAGCCTTGCCTGACTTCTTCAGACAATGAGCTATTTTTTTTCTTTTGATTTCCATAATACCTTGTCTATATCAAGAGTCTATATTTATTATCATTTAATTACAAGTTTCTATGTTTGTACAATGTCTCATCCACGCAACTGTGCTTAGGTTCCATTTGATCCATTTTTAAAGATTTTTTTTAAATTTATTGGAAAGACAAATATACAGAGAGGAGGAGAGACAGAGAGGAAGATCTTCCGTTCGATGGTTCACTCCCCAAGTGACTGCAACAGCAGGTGCTGTGCTGATCCGAAGCCAGGAGCCAGAAACTTCTTCCAGGTCTCCCACACGGGTGCAGATCCCAAGGCTTTGGGCCATCCTCGACTGCTTTCCCATGCCACAAGCAGGGAGCTTGATGGGAAGCAGGGCTGCCGGAATTAGAACCAGCAACCATATGGGATCCCGGCACGTGCAAGGCGAAGACTTAAACCACTACGCTATCACACCAGCCCTGATTTAATCCATTTTTAATATGCCCCAATCTAGAATTTGGCATGTAATATGTACTCAGCAAATATTTACTCAATGAATAGTTTTAAAAATATTTATTTATTTTTATTGGAAAGTCAGATATACAGACAGGAAGATCTTCCATCCGTTGATTCACTCTACAAGTGGTCGCAATTTCCGAAGTTGAGCCTATCTGAATCCAGGAGCCAGGAGCTTCCTCCAGGTCTCTGGGTGCAGGATCCCAAGTCTTTGGGCTGTCTTTGACTGTTTTCCCTGGCCACAGGCAGAGAACTGGATGGGAAGTAGGGCCACGGGGATTAGAACCGGTGCCCATATCGGATTCCAGCGGGTCCAAGGTGAGGACTTTAGCTGCCAGGGTACTGTGCCGGGCCCTACTCAATGAATTTTGAAGTAAGTTTTAGTTTTAGTTATTTTTGGAAATAAGTTTTCATTCCAGTTTTTCTGACTGCTTCAAGTGTATACAGTAGGTAATATATTACAGAATTATTACTGATCACACCATTTTCAGAGTATTAGGCTCTTTGAATCTCCTTTTTTCATTTCTAGCTCTCTGCAAACTTTTAAAAAAAAAGATTTTTCTTTATTTGAAAGGCAGATTACACAGGGAAAGCATGGCACACACAGCAAGAGACTTTCCATCTATTTGTTCACTCCCCAGATGGCCCAAAGGACCAGGGCTGAAGCTTCATCGAGATCTCTATGTGCCCAGCATGTATGCCACCTTCTGCTGCTTTTAGCCTTGACATCAGCAGAGAACAGGATCCAAAGTGATGCAACTGGAACACAAACCAGAGCCCAGCTGAGATGCTGGCATTGCAGGCTGTGGCTTAACCTACTAGGCTACAGTGCCACACAAACTCCCAAGTATTTTATTTTGAATATCCCTAAATATATGAGTATGGAAGAGGAAAGAATTGGCAGTGAAAATTCACAGAGCTACCATCTGAATTCTTTAAAAAAAATTTTTTTAATTTTGTTTAAATTTATTTCAGAGGCTGAAAGAGAAAAGATTCATGTAGTGGTTCACTCGCCAAGTGCTGTCAGACATGGGGCGAGGATCAAAGTTTGGAAGCTGGAAAGGCAACCTAGGTCTCCCTATGGGTAGCAGGAATGTGACTGTTAGAGCTGTCACTGCTGTGTTAGCAGCACGTGGAAATCAAGGCTCAGAGATGGACAGCAAACACATGAAACACTGGTATGATGAGACGTGGGCAGTGTAGCTGCCAGATCATTCCTGAACCACTTTTTTTGAAAACAGTATTTTCTTACATTTGTAAAACAACTTTTATGGGTCAATTTTGTTATCGCTTTTTAAAAAAAAAATCTCATGAGTAGGGTATGAGTCCATCTGTTTCACAGAGAAGGGAACTGAGACTAAGCGGGGGTTTAACGACTTGCCCGGGGGGCTTGTCTCCAAGAGTTGCGATCAACTGGAGCCAAATGACTCATCGCGCACCCTTTTTTTTTTTTTTTTTTGGCGATCATTCATTGATGCTGAGACAAATTTCCCCATCTTCTGTTCATTCGCCCCAAATGCCTGCATTAGCTGGTTTGGGCCAAGTCCAAGCTAGCAGCCTGGAGCTGATTCCAGGTGTCCCAAGTTCTTGAGCCATTATCTGTGGCCTCCCAGGGAGAGCATTAGCCGGGTCAGCAGGGAGACAGGGAGAGCAGAGCTGGCACTTCAGTGTGGGAGTCCCCTGGGCTGTTCCTAGAAACGCCCACTCCTAGCACACATTTCTAACTCACAGGTCACTCAGGAATGAGGCTTCGGTTCTTCCTCCCCCGCCTCCCACTTCTGTTCTGGTTAGTCATCGTTTCCTGAGCCATCCATCTGAGATTCTTTGTCCCATCCACTCTTTCCCAGCATCGTCACTCTGGTGTGATCCTGAAATACCCCATCGCAACGCGGGGGTCTTGCCTGTTCATGGACCAAGGACACAACAATGTCCAGTTAAAACACAATTTTGACCATCCCTTAGAGCGCAAAACAGCGGGTCACGCTCACTGCTGAATGAAGTCTTGGCAAAGTCCCTGCCGACCCTAAAAAACTCTCCAAACATCAGCCTTTCACTCCGGGCCTGCATCTTACGTAACTGAGTTCTTCGCCCAAGTACACCCAGGGCTTTCCCGTTTCTTTTCTTTCTCGCTGTGCAAGCCACCACCACCACTCCCTCCCCAACTCCAGACCCCCACAGTTCTTCTCATCGACTCGTTAGAGCCCTGGCGCCTGCTTCTCGCCGTGACCCTATTTTTAAGCCACCCTGTAAGAACTTCAGGTTCTGTTCCCCCACCCCGTCACCTGCTGCCCCCCTTTGCCCGAGTTTAAACGCCACCCTCACGCGCACAGAGCCTTATCCTGATTTATTTCGATTACAGATCGCGCGGAGGTTGGGGGTCGGGAGTAGACCCCCGGCTGTGCTCCTGAGGGCGCGCACCGCGGACCCGCCTTTCCCTCAGGCCGACGCGTGTCCCCCGGGGCCACAGCCCCTGGAACAGCCTCGGGATTCCCAGCCTCTGGGTGCTTCCACTCCAGCCAGCCGGAGGGGACGCTCGTTTCTCCAACAGGGCTTCAACGGACACTAGTCGCTGACGATCGCCTCACAGCTTCCACGTTCCCTAGCAGCTTAAGTCTGCGGTCCTTTCGGAACGGCAGCGGCGCGCGTGTCGGGGGCGCAGCCCGCTCGCGCCGAGGGTCGGGTCCCGGGGGTCTCCCCCCCGCCTGAAGCCGCACTTGGTCGCGCCCGCTTTGTAAGAGCGCAGCGCTCGCCGGTTGCCTTCCAGTTCTCGCCGGCTCCCTTCCAGCTGCCGCTCGCTCGTGGTCGGCCCTGTCTCCGCCGCCTCCTCCGTCGCCCGGCTCGGCCGCCCAGCACTCCTGCGAGGAGCCGGTGGAGCATCCGGAGGGCGCCGACCGTGTGACCAGCGACCCCGGCCCCCAGCCTGCTCCGCTCCTCCGCTCCTCGGCGCGCGAGGGGCCGCGGCGGTTGTGGCGGCGCTGCCCGGCATGTTTCAGAGCCCGCGGCGGCTCTGCTCCGCCCTGCTGCAGAGGGAAGCCCCCGGCCTGCGCCGCCTGCCCGGCCCCGGGCTGCGTCGCCAGTCGCCCCCGCCGACGGCTGTCCCTCGGCCCGCAACCTCCCGGTTCCTGGTGGCGGCCTCGGCGGCCTCGGGCGCTGCCAGGTCGTGTTCCCGAGCAGGTGAGTGCGCGGCGGGCTGCGGCCGGGAATGAATGGGAAGCGGCGGCGGGCAGGCTAGCGGTTCTCGGGTTTGGGAGCGAGTCCTTCCTGAGCGGCTGTTTGCGCTCGCTTTTGCCTCTTTGCTTCCTTTTGCCCTGCCTCGCCGGGACTTGTATCACGGCTTGTGAGAACACTGCAGGTTTCCGCTGGACCCTTGCATACCACGCTAAAGTATTTCTCCCACATAACCTACCTTAAATTTCCTCCTACCGAGACCGTAAATAATTTCTATTGGTTATTCATTTTTTTTAAAATTGCGCTGTTGTGATGTTCATACAAAAAAATAACCTTACGTGACCACTATTTGATCATGTGGCCTAGATGTCCTGAAAAAAAAATTTGAAGCATGCTAAAACATGAGTTGGCTTTACCTGGGCGGGAGGTTCTCTTGGAACCTTGTGTTCCAGGGAGGCTCAACTCCCTAAGTGATGCCTTCCAAAGGTCAGTTTTACCATCTTAAATCATCTTATTACCTGGGATTCTTTTTTTTTTTTTTTTTTGCCACCTCCGTGTAACCTCAGATAACTGTAGCCACATGATATTCACATTAGTTATACCTTTAAAATTTAGAAATAGTTTTCATACAAAGCATTTTAAAGGGTGCATTTTAGCTGTACTCTGGCTATTGCTGGGACACATCGGTGTAACCCACCTAGATTGTAAAGGAATGCCTTTTTTCTGGGACCATTATGCGTTCAGTACAGAGTGAACACTGGGTCCAGTGTGGCTTTCCGTCGCGAACAGAAGCGACCGATGAAATGTCCTGAAGCCAGGACTTCAGTCATGTTATTGGTGGATGTTGCTGGAATAGAACTAAAAGGATGCGGGTGTCGAGCTGTTACTTGAGACAAAAAAAAAAAAAAAAAAAAAAAAAATTCTGTTCTTGATGCACGTAGTCAGACCCCCACCCTTCGTTCTGTAGGAGTTGGGCATATTTTGAAATAATTGTTGGAATGGTGCGCGTTATCAAGAGGAACACCGAGGTGGGAACAGTACCTCACTTGCTGTGTTCTGTAGCAGCCTCAGGTGGGCTCAGAGAGGAAGCCTGGCTTGGAGGCCCAGGTGGCATTATTGAGGATTCCCCGGGGAGAGAGGCAGGGGCCCCAGTGCTTGAGCCATCACCTGCAGCCGACAAGGGGCACATTAGCAGGAAGCTAGACCAAAAGTGAAGGAGCCAGGACTCGGAGCAGGCAGTCTGCTACTGGGGTGGATGCCTGCTTTCCAGGGAACAGCCACTTCCAGGAAGTTTGCTGCCCAGCAGGCCCCAAGATTTGCGCAAAGCAATGCTTAATGACATAAACAGGTTTCACTTTTAAGATTTGCAAATAGCCCTAGGGATATGGGAGAGAGGGGGCATTTCCTTCAGCAGTGGGGCCTTCAGACTTCCAGAAGTGGTTGCATTTAAGTGTGCCTCAAAGCCTGGTTAGGATTGGATAAACATGGATGTTATGCATTTTGTTGATGAAAAGCAGGAGAAAATGGGACAGAGCGTGAGGCATGGAGGACAAAGCATGAGTGTGGAATGCTTTACAAGGTGGACAGACTTCCTTGTAGATCCATCCCATCAGTGGAGGGCCCCCAGTCCACATTACGGAACAGTCATCCACAAACTAAAGATTATTCCGAAACACACACAGAAGTTTGGCCATTGGAGGAGCTAAGAGCCACTTTGCCTGCCTGACAGTTTGGGGTGTGGGATGGACAGTGGATGTTCACTCTGGGCCCCACTGGGTCCTCAGCCATTCCTGGAAAGACCGTCTCTTGGCTTGACCAAATTCAGGGGTTGTTGGACTCTACGGGACACCTTGGAGGGGATGTCACTGGTTTGTTTGCTTTTCTGGAGCAAGGACAGGTGCACCCAGAAGGAGGTTGTGGCTGCCACCACCATTACCATTAGCTGTATGGGAGGAAGTATAGTTGTGGGCTGGGAAAGCTGCCCTCCACAGCTCACCAGGAGCCAGCTGAATCAAGTGTTCTCTGCTAGAACATGTTGCCTCTTTCTGGGTACATTTTCAAAGGCAAATACCAGCTTTATTTGAGGAGGCTGCTTTCTTTAGTGGGTCCCTTCACTTGTGAGTAAGCTACTCGTGGGTGAAAAAAAAATGGAAAAGCTTGTAATTATCCTGCTTCTGCAAAAATAAATGGTTTTTCTGGTGGGAGGAGTTCAAATACAGTGAGCTCTCTGGGTAGGGAGCTTTTGAGTTCATGTCCACGGTTCTAGAATCACATTCAGCAGGCTTTCCCGTGATCATCCGCAAATCACTGGACCTGGCTTGCTGGCTCTTAACACTGCAGACTTTCCCTAGGGGGAAAAAAATGAAACAAATTGATAGCAGTTTATCTGCAAGCTCATGACTGATTGCAGTACGAAGTGCAAAGAAAAAGATCTTTGGATGTGTTAAGGGCGTTTGCTTGGGTGGGATGGAGCGATGTGGTGGGAGGGCTAGGGGAGAAAATTGTCACATGCCTAGAACGTGGGAAAGGACTCTCCAGAATTATCTGAGCCACTTGTTGAAAGCACAGATTTTTGGGTGTTCATGTGCACTTGGTTTCCTGGTGAGTTAGGCCCTGGATGATTCTGGGTGCTCTGGGGAGTGTTTATGAGCTCTGTGCTGCCTTTGCAGTGGTTAGTCCCTGCCTGAAAGTTGAAGAAACCCCAGAGGGGATGGGATCTTTGTACTTGGAGCCTCAGGCAATTCAGGAGACTCCTTGACCCTTACAAAAACCAGGTGTTTTCTTTTTTTAAAAAAGCTTTGTTTATTTGAAAGTGTAAGAGATGGAGAAAGAGAGAAGGGATAGGTGAGGTAGCCCAGCAGCTGGGGTCCTCACCTTGCACACGCCTGATCCCATATGGACGCCTGATCCTTTATGAGCGCTGGTTCTAATTCCTGGGGCCCTGCTTTAAAAAGAGAAATCTTCTAGTTCATTCTCCAGTGCCTATAGCAGCTGGAGCCTGGAACAGTATCCAGATCACAGGTGTGGGTCGTTGAGATAACATTGACTGTGGCCTTGATAAAGTTTGCCCAGGATGGTGGTGCACCCCCTGGCTGAGGTGTAGCAGTGCCAGCCAGCAGCAGCAGCTTCCTGGGGACAAGGGCTAAGATGGTGCCAGTGCCCCTGCAAGGGGAGTGAGGCACGCCAGCACAGAGCCACAATGCCAGGTCACCTTGTAAGGTGCTATGTAGGGTTCACCGATCTCAGCCCCTTTGCGGAACACAGTTTGGCAAGGATGATCACTCCTGCATGATGGTGGCTACCTCCTTGAAGCATTTCACACCCAGCCCGATAGGACCATGGTAGTGCCCAAGGGTAACCAGCACCTTGAACCTAGTCCTCTGGCTAGCCCACAACTGTTTCAACCTGGTGTGATCCTCTGAACCTTGTGCTTTTTTGTTTAAGATTTATTTATTTTTTTTTTTAATTAGGCAGATTTACAGAGAAAAGGAGAAAGGCATTCACTGGTTCACTCCCTAAGTGGCCACAATGGCCGGAGCTGAGCTGATCTGAAACTGGGAGCTTCTTCTGGGACTCCCATATGGATGTAGGGTCCCAAGGTTTTGGGCCATCCTCTACTACTTTCCCAGGCAATAAGTGGGGAGCTGGATGAGAAGGGGAGCAGCCACTGCTTGAACCAGCACCCATAAGGGATCCTGTTGCTTGCAAGGTGGACAATTAGCCAATCAAGCCATCCTGGCAGGCCCTAGAATTCATCCTTGAGGGATGCCCTCTGGGAGAAAGTTAGTGATCTCAGACTCCTGGATAAGCTGAAAAGAGATAATCTTCAGGGATTTGATCTTCATTTCCTTAACCTGGGGGCCCAGTTTAAACCTGCGCCTGAGTTCCATGGCCCCAAGCTACCTGATGCAGAAGTTTTCCAGGGCCCGCCTGCTGCATCCCTGTCACCAACCACCCACCTCTTGGTGTGATGATCTGTTGATGTGGAGAGACTGCTCCTGGAATATGGAACATGCAGGAAGCTGCTTTTATTCCATCTTCAGAAAACAGTAAGATTGCTTTAACATCAGAAGGCAGCCACAATGACAGATTGTTGCCACGAATGTCTGCAGGTGCCTGGCACTTCCGCCGCTCTCCGTTTGTCCTTCTCCATCCTTCCTCCCACTCTGAGCTTCCAGGACTGTTTGCCAGGCTGCAGACGCCCTGTGACGCCCAGGCCCTGTCCCATGCAGGACAACATGAGGCCCTTGGCAGGCGTGGCTTACACCTGGGGGACAACCTTTTGTTTCCTTTTTACGCCCTGCTGTGTTGGCTGTCTGCTGTTCTGGTAAATCCTATAGACTGGATCTGTTTGTTGGGACATTTCTACAGTTCCTCTTTCAGCTGTTTCTGGAATTCTTTTGGGAGATAACCGTGAACTTTATATGCAAATAATTCTTTGTGACTTGATGTTCATAGTTAGGTGACACATGCCCGTAGTGAAGCTCATTCGCAGGGTGGAGGTTGTGGTCAACCTGTTCTTAGGGCAGCTGTGACTCACTGCTCACTGCACTCCTGGTTCCTCTGTGCTTGCAGCCCAGTTGCCTGCTGGGGAGCCTGCAGGCAGTGGGGACAGCTCACATGCTTTGCTGTTGTCACCTTTGTGGGAGGCTCAGAGTTCCTGGCTCCTGGCTTTGGGCCTGGCAACTCTGGCTGTTGCAGTTGTTCTGGGGAGTGAACCAGTTGACAGATCATCTCTGTCACTCTGCCTTTCATTATGCGATTTGTATGAAAGTCAAAATTACAGAGCAAGAGGCAGAGTAGAGAGCTTCCATGCACTGTTCTCTGCCCAGATAACCTGTAATGACCAGTGCTGGGCCAGGCCTCACTGGGAGCCAAGAGCTTCCCTCTGGTCTCTCATATGGACCATCTTCTGCTGCTTTCTCCAGGCCATTAGCAGGGAACTGGATCAGAAGTGGAGAAGCTGGATCACATATTGGCATCCAAGTGAGATGCTGGCATAGCAG